CTGCTCCGGGCTGTGGGGCTGGCCCTCGAGGAGGGAAATGGGCCCGGTGGGAGGGCAGACGGGGCTGGGAGGGAGGAGTCCTGGGGTCTGTGCCCAGCCCTGGCAGGGCGGTGGGATATAATGGGTCTCCCCTCGCTGGGATCAGCTGGGCCGATTGCTGGGGTCCCTCTCTGTGGCCCCTTGTCTGTCCTCTGGCCAGAGCCGGCCGTGTCCTCTGAGCAGGGTTGGGGTCACCAGGGCGCCAGACGCCACGGATCCAACTCTGGGCTGTTTTCTGAAACCGTGAGCTCCCCAGCCTTTGTCACAGTAACTTCTGGGCACTGAGCGCCCCTGCATGCACCCCCCTTTGAACCCCCAAACTCCCCTCTTCCTCGCAGGGACGAGCAAACAGAACCAGAAAGAGCCGCGCGCGGCTGGCCAGGGCAGCCCGAAACGCCGTGGAACTGACGGGCGGAGGATGGATCCTTGCCCAAATCCCGGACCTGTGGCCGGCGAACGCCCAGCTGCTCTGGGTGGTACAGGGCCGGCTGTGCTACCCCCCACTTCTCTGGAGGGTCAGCAGCCCCGCTCATGGCCCTGTTCCACCTACTCAGGACTTCTAATGAACAGACCCACACAGAGGGGGGGCTGGAGCTGTGTTGCTTTTGGGGCTGTTTATTGGCACAGAAGAGGACTTTGATTTAGCTGGTGGCTGGTGTCAGCGTCCCGGAGACCCGGCCATGAGGTTCCTTGGGAGATGTCTTCGGATCTTCAGGAGGCTTCACTTCCTCCGGGCCGGGCCCAGGCTTCTGCTAGGATGTTACATCTTGTCCAAAAGAGAGAGAAATGTTCTGGCCGCTTCTCCTGTAATGTGTCTGTTTGCAGGGTCTTTGTCTGCCTTAGAAGGTCATGGATCCCAGATGGCCTTTTGGTTGGGTATTTCTCATTCACCCCCCCCACACGTTCTACGGGTCACATACATATCCATGAGCAACATAGTTTTTAGGAAAGTCCGACACCTCCAATACATTGAATTACCTGGGAAAAGGATCTCATGTCAATACGATGGATTAACATACCAAAGGCAGGATACGGACTTAACGTACGTTGTAACTAAGAGTGTGTCTACACTTGCACCGTCTTTCGAGAGAGGGACGCAAATGAAGACATTCGAAATAGCAAATGAAGCCGGGATTTAAATATCCCGTGCTTCATTTGCATATTCGCATTATGGCGCTCTTTCGAAATAACAGACGCTGCTAAGACGCGGTTATTTCAAGAGAAAACCCTTCTCTCAAAATAACCCTTATTCCTCATACAATGAGGCTTACCAGTTATTTCGAGAGACGGGTTTTCTCTCGAAATAACCGCATCTTAACAGCATCTGTTGTTTCATAGAATCATAGCGCTGGAAGAGACCTCAGAAAGTCAAGTCCAGCCCCCTGCTCTAGGCAGGACCAATCCCAATTAAATCAGCCCAGCCAGGGCTTTGTCAAGGCAAGACTTAAACACCTCTAGGGATGGAGACTCCACTTCTTCCCTAGGGAACCCATTCCAGTGCTCCCCCACCCTCCTACGGAAATCATTTGTCCTAATCTCCAACCTGGACCTCTCCCACCACAACTTGAGCCCATTGCTCCTTGTTCTGCATCTGTCACTACTGAGAACAGCCTCTCTCCATCCTCTTTGGAACCCCCTTTGAGGAAGTTGAAGGCTGCTCTCAAATCCCCCCTCACTCTTCTCTTCTGCAGACTAAACAGACCCAAATCCCTCAGCCGCTCCTCGTAGGTCATGTGCTCCAGCCCCAAATAGCGCTGTGTCGAAATAGCTCCGTAACACAAATATGCAAATGAAGCGCGGGACATGTAAATCCCGGCTCCATCTGCAATTTCGAATGTCTGCATTTGCATCCCTCTCTCGAAAGAGAGTGCAAGCGTAGACACACGGGCTGTGTCCGGACAGCCTCCCTTTTCCGGAAAAGGGATGCAAATTAGACACATCGCAATTGCAAATGAAGTGGGGATTTAAATCCCCCCCGCTTCATTTGCATAAACATGGCTGCCGCTTTTTTCCAGCTCAGAGCTTTGCCGGAAAAAAGCACGGATCTTTCGGAAAATAAAGCCTTTTCCGAAAGATCCCTTATTCTTCTTAAAATAAGTAGACACTGCCCATCCCCCGCCAGCCTTACTTCCTTGTCGTGGGGGGGAGGGTTCGCAGGCCCCTATACTGTTCCAGGTCTGCTTGCTTCATCCTCCCCACGCTAACAACCCCTTCTTCCACCCACCGAGCACTCACCCCCCGGTAGCCACCCCCTTCCTTTGTTCACACCCCTTCCCCCGGCCAGGTGAGAAATGGCTGGGCCCTGGCCTTCGCGCCTCCCCCAGGGACCACCCCCCGCTGGGCGGTGCTTACAGACACCGGCCAGTAGGGGTCACCCCAGCCCAACACAGCCAGCAGCCGCTAACAACCCCTTCTTCCACCCACCGAGCACTCACCCCCCGGTAGCCACCCCCTTCCTTTGTTCACACCCCTTCCCCCGGCCAGGTGAGAAATGGCTGGGCCCTGGCCTTCGCGCCTCCCCCAGGGACCACCCCCCGCTGGGCGGTGCTTACAGACACCGGCCAGTAGGGGTCACCCCAGCCCAACACAGCCAGCAGCGACGGCCCAACCAGAGTGGATCCACACGAGGGTACAACCCCCCACTATAGCACGGGGTGGGGGGTGTCCAACTGGTTACAGGCCTCACCCCACATCGGCTCCCCTCCCCGGGGGCCAGTGCAAAAGCAGGGGG